GCTCGTAGCTGCGACTGCGTGACCGCCGCCGGTTACTCCGACCGAAGTCGTCGCGACCGCCACGAGAATTGCTACGCCTGGACCGCGAGTCACGGTCACGATCCCGCTTGCGATCGCTGCGATCACTTCGATCCCTGCTGCGGGAACGCTTCCGGCGTCTGTCGAAGTCCTCATTATTCCGGGACCGGCTTCGATTCGTCCGGGAATCGCGATCACGATCGCGCTCACGCTCCCTGTCACGATCGCGGTCCCGATCTCTGTCGCGTGGTTCGCGCTCCCTGTCGCGGCTATCCCGCCGGCGACTGTCTCGGTCCTTACTGTCCCGGTCCCTGTGCGAGGCAACGTGTTAGTTACATAACAACACAGCACGGCAAAATGTGGCCAACACTCACCTTCGCTTCTTGTCACGCTCCTTGTCCTTCTCCTTGTCGCGGCTGCGGTCTTTGGAACGGGAGCGCTCCTTATCACCGCCACGGCTGCTGCTGCCATTGGCTGCTGAGGATGACGCTCTGCCCGTCGCAGTCGAAAGTATATCTGGCGGCGGTGTGCTCATTTTTAGTCAAAAACCGACACGCTCTATAATTGGTTTAAGCAATTACCGCAAATTTATACAATTTCGAGCACAACTTATATTCTTATATTTATAATATATATATTTTTTTTTGCGGCGTTGCGTGGAAAAGAAGATGGCGTCCGGTGTGATTGTCGATTGGATATACGGTCTGACCCTCAGAAATATACTGAAATATACCGTATTTTTTTCAAAATATACCGTATATATACTATGGAATTTTTAAAGTTCCATCATGCATATTCCTCGATTTGTATATTACGGATATTACTGCCTAGTTAGAACCCTCAGACCTGCCCGCATAATTTTATTCGATTAAGTTTCACTGTATACTTTAAACAAAAAGTGTCCGCTTTTTGGAGCTGCAGAATGCCATAAAAGTACTGTACGGCGTTTTATGCTGTCACGACTTTGATAAAATCACTCTTTTCATACATAAACAACACTTCAAACTTTGGCCACACTAAAAAGTGAATCAGAATGAAATTAACGAAATAATTTGCCCAAAACGGTACAAAAGATATTAATTATAGCAATTTCGACTCTGAATATCGGGCCCAAACTCTCTCCGCTTGTGTAAGGTGCCCGCTAAAGACCTGCAGCCATTGTGTGTGCCCCGGGGAAGCAAGTGTAAAGTGGACAACTCCCTAATTTTGAGAGCATCGCATCAGTAGCATCACATCACAGACATGTCCTCGCTCTCCGCGTCCGCGGAAAACGTATCCACGCTCGGGATCGGCGGTGGCCACGACTCCAACTCACATCTCGGTTCGGATGGAGGCTCCAGCATGTGCCTGGAGCTGGCCTTGGAGGGGGAGCGCCTCTGCAAGGCGGGTGACTGTCGGGCAGGCGTGGCCTTCTTTCAGGCCGCCATTCAGGCGGGCACCGAGGATCTTCGCACCTTATCAGCCATCTACTCGCAGCTAGGCAACGCCTACTTCTACCTGGGCGACTACTCCAAGGCCATGCAGTACCACAAGCACGACCTGACGCTGGCCAAATCCATGAACGACAAACTGGGCGAGGCCAAGTCGTCCGGGAATCTCGGCAACACCCTGAAGGTGATGGGCCGCTTCGACGAGGCGGCAATATGTTGTGAGCGACACCTGACCCTCGCCCGTCAGCTGGGCGACCGCCTCTCCGAGGGAAGAGCCCTCTACAATCTAGGCAACGTCTACCACGCCAAGGGCAAGCACATGGGACAGCGGAATCCTGGAAAGTTCGGCGAGGATGTGAAGGAGGCCCTGGCCAAGGCCGTGGAGTTCTACCAGGAGAACCTCAAGCTAATGCGCGATCTGGGAGATCGCGGTGCCCAGGGCAGGGCGTGCGGGAATTTGGGGAACACCTACTACCTCCTCGGCGACTTTCAGGCGGCCATCGAGCATCACCAGGAGCGGCTGCGCATCGCCAGAGAGTTTGGCGATCGGGCGGCCGAGCGCAGGGCCAACAGCAACCTGGGCAACTCTCACATCTTCCTGGGGCAATTCGAGGACGCCGCCGAGCACTATCGTCGCACCCTGGCCCTGGCCGTAGAGCTAGGCGAACGCGAGGTGGAGGCCCAGTCATGCTATAGTCTCGGGAACACCTACACCCTGCTCCACGAATTCAACACAGCCGTGGAGTTCCACAATCGACATTTGGCCATTGCCCAGGAGCTGGGCGATCGCATTGGCGAGGCCCGCGCCTGCTGGTCCCTGGGCAATGCCCACTCTGCCATGGGCAACAATGAGCGATCGCTGCAGTATGCCGAATCGCATCTACAGTTGGCCAAAGAGCTGCACGACCCCGTGGGCGAGAGCACGGCTCGTGTAAACATCTCAGATTTGCGCAAGCTTCTGGGCCTCCCAGAAACCGAGCGAAGTCCCACAGAGGATGAGCGTTCGAGTGCCTCGGATCACTCACATCAGTCGGACGGATCAGAGAACTCGCAGGGGCGAATGGTGAGTGGGAAAAAAAAGGTGATAAGCTTTCCTTAAACACGATTTGACCTTCCTCTTCAGATACGCGTGCGTCGCCAGAGCATGGAGCAATTGGATCTGATTAAAATCACGCCGGATGGCAAGCGCTTGCACGAGGAGAAGCAGAGGGCAGCGTCTGCTGCCAACAAGAATACAAAGGCCAAAGACGATGACTTCTTCGAGATGTTATCGCGATCACAGTCGAAGCGCATGGACGACCAGCGCTGCTCAATCAAGATCAATCCAAATGGTCCGCCTGTGGCTGGAGCTGCCACAGGAGGAGCCACGCGAAAGCCGCTGGTGCAGCAGAATTCTCTGTTTGTGGACCCCACGAATCTGCCTGGCCTGAAGTCGCCATCATCGGGCAATGCAAGTGCCATGGCCCATCCGCCGCTGACCAGGAGCGCCACCACCGCGGCGCAGCCGGATGAGGCTTTCCTCGACATGCTGATGCGCTGCCAGGGCTCAAGGCTGGAGGAGCAGCGCTCGGAATTGCCGCGTCCAAATGTGACAATGGATGCGGAGGCACCACAGCCGCAGGCCCCCGAGGCCGGTGGACAGGCCGGACGTGGGGCCACGGTGCCCGATGAGGACTTCTTCTCGCTGATCATGAAGGTGCAGAGCGGACGCATGGAGGATCAGCGGGCATCGATACCGTTCGGCGGCTTCCGGAATGCGAACAACAACCAAAACAACAATCGGAACAACAATGGAGCAGCCGGCGGAGCTGCCAAGTAGGCATCCCAGGCGAAGTAAATGAAGTGGAGATGATGTCCAGAAAAGTCCAAAATCCAAAAACTCAATCCTATCAGTCCATCCCTGGCAGCAGCAGCTCCTTCTGATTCCGGATTTCTGATTCCTGATTCATTTGTTATACGTACATTTTACATTTTACGGCCAAATTTCTGCGTCATTATTGTGGGGCACTGGGCCGCTAACCCTTTTGTTCTTTTATAAGATTTATACACAAAAAAAACAAACAAACCATTTATTTATGATGAATAGCAACTAACAAAAGTAACCAAATATTAGAGTGAAAAATCGAGAGAAAACTTCCGGGCAATGCCCCACCCATCCATCAATCATTCGACCACTCATTCATCCCAAAGTTTAGCGATGATATTGCACACAATACGTTACAATACAATACACGAGTTTTACGATATTAAAAATGTTTGAATTGCATGCAAAAACAAAGAAAAAAACTCTATATAGCTTAAGCCGCGCAACAGTAAAAAGTATTCCCGATTTGCTCAATATTGTTGATGGAAACCGAAGTCTTCTTGGGTAGAACATTACACTTTCTAACATTCACAGTCTAACTCTTAAGTTTTACTCTTAATCAAAACGATCTACACAAATAAGCAATGCATTTTTCTAAAAGAGAAAACCACAAACTAATCAAAAGAACTTTCCAATTGTAACCCCATGAGTATTGCATTTTTCTATCCGAGAGGAGAGCTCTTACAATTTTTTTAGAATATTAACTAACAAAAAAAAAACAAAGAGAGAGAATAAGAGCTGTTCAGGTTTCTCTTTATGGCCTGGCGCTTGTGGTTTAGCATAAAGCTACGATATTGATATATAATATACACATACTACACACATATACGACATACATATGAAGAACAGATTAAATATACCTATAGTTACTCACACACACACAATTATACAAATGCGAAATGCAAAACAAAACTGAGTTCGAATTGCACGAGAAATGAAGCCAAAATTGAATTGAATATGGATTAAAGTTGTACGAAAGATAGACGTACGTTTCATGAAGCTAATCACCGTAATGATAACGATCATCGATCATTATCCGATTATACAAATACGAGTACGCGGAATGTGTATTATTAAACATTAAAAATCAAAACTTGTTTGCTGACAACTAGAAGGGTTTCCTTTTAGAAGGGGGTTTATGGGTTCATGGAACTAAGAGTTTCCTAATTTTTAGAATCAATCGATGTATTGCCTAAGGCTTTATGGAGCTCTAAGTCAACTAGGATTAATTATTTCTACACAGAATAAGATACATTCGTGTTGTACATATATGTCTCTAGTTCTCTCATTTTTCTCTCACTTAGATACACAGTTCCTTCATTGTTTTAAAGATGGAAGAATTCAATTACAAGCTATAATTTTTCTTAATTTTGTAATAGAGGCTTCCTTCATAACATCCTTTTTTCAAGAATTTATGAACTAGTCCTTTAACTAATTTTAAAATTAATAAGATGTTTCTTCCTCCACGCTTTCCTCAGAATGGGATCAATTTCGCGACTGTTTCCGTCTGTTTTATGGGTTTTAATAAGTATCGCTGATCCATCCTTAATTTAACTTTGTTAATGAAGCATAGCCACAGGAATATTTCATTGAAATGTGAAAGAGTAGATAATTACTAGTAGAAATGTATCTGCATTATCTTATCCATCAAATTTGAATACAAAAATATGTTCGATTTTAAAGCTTTATTCATAAATTAATCGTCTTAGGGTTCTAGAACATATTCGATAAGTTAGCGATAGTGGGGGCTACCCGTTTGGCTTAGTCGCGGGGCAGAATGAAAGAAAATCTAACCCGCCCTAAAGGTAAATCCTAAGCTCTGATCTCTGTTACTTTTATGTACAAATTGATTTAGATATAGATCTAGATGTAGATGTATCTTAACAACCAACAAGAGCCTAGCAGCCCTACGCCTTGGCCCCCTTAATACTCTCCATGCCATGGGGTTCCATCCCGCTGGCCGCCAGCACAAATATGGGGGCCGAGTAGTCCACAGCCTTGTCGCCGTGCGGATAGGAGGAGTGCATCGCTTTGCTGCTCCTGCCACGCTTCAGCATCACATAGACGACGAACACGCTGACCAGGAAGGCGGAGCTGGTGGCCATGATGAACAGCACCAGCTGGATGGACTCGTCTTGGGCGGTGGCTGCCTGGGCCACGGCCGGAGCAGCACTGCGGTGCACAAAGTGCGAACGCGTCAGATCCGGCCGGAAGTGGCCGCCAGCCAAATGGAACTCGCCCGCCGTGATGGCCGATTCGATGGCAAAGGCCAGATCCACCTTGGACTCGTTGTGCAGCTCGAAGCGCACGATGGCGGAGCCATCGAAGTTCTCCTGGACGCGGAGATTCTCCACGGCTTCGCCCAGCAGCTGCTGCAGTTCCATGCGAATGGTGTCGTAGGCATTCCTCACACTCCGCCCGCTGCTGTTGGTCATGTGCAGCTCGATGGACACCGCCTCGATGGGCACATGGGTGCACCGTCGATCGCCGACCCCAAAGACATGGGTGGCCTGCAGCTGATTGCCGGCCGCATCGACGCACCAGCAGCTGCGTCCGTTGCACTGCAGCGGCCGGAAGGCGCCCGCCTCGTCACAGCTCACGGGAAAGGTGGCCGTGTTGGCCAGAGCCCGGCAGCGGGTGGTCTTCAGCTGCATGGGCTTCAGGGCGGGCTGCTCCACGGACAGCTGCGAGTCGAGCAGGGAATTGGCCAACTCCAGGACTCGTTCAGTGACACTGGACTCGGCCGCACTGGCCGTCGAGGCTGGCAGTATCTTGGCTTCCAGCTCCTCAAAGTCGAGATCCTCGCTGGCCACATCATTGAGCTGGGTCAGTTGTCCAATCAGCTGCTCCATGAGCGGATCACCCATGTCAAAGTTCTTGCGATTGCGTGCCTGGCGGCTATTGCAGATGGGTTCGATCTCTCGGGTGAGAGTGCCCTTCAGTGGGGCTCCCTTCTTGTCCGCACACCAGCAAACGCCATACGGGCTGGCAGCAGTCTCCTCCTCCACCACGGTTATGCTGCTGCTGGCAAAAGCGCGACTCACGATCTCCGTTTGGGGCGGTCTAATGGCTGATGGCTGCGGCTGTTTGCCCAAACATTGGACGGGGCTCCAGTGGCCTGTGATGGGATCGCAACGGGGCTGGAACCACACCGAAGAGTGTCCAGTGCGCTGGGCAGCCAGGCTGTTCTTCAGCTTCAGGCGTTCGCATTGGGTAAGAACTGAAACAGAGAGAATACCATTGGAATTATTCCGGCAATATTTGCAGAGAAAGGATTGCCCTACCTGGACAAACCGAATTGCAGGCGAGCTCATTGTGGAATAGATTCTTTGTCTGACAGGCTGGCGCCTCTGCATCGATAGTCACGGCCACACATTTGTTGACCTTCGGACTGAATCGATAGCGCGTGCTGTTCCTCGTCGACGTGCTGCTGGAGAGGCACACGCTGTCCATCGATTCAAAGCAGACGTCGCGCGTCTTGGAGCAGCAGACACCGCGATTGCTCACGGGATTCAACTGACACGAGTGGGTGGTGGGACAGGCCTCGTGCTCGTTGTGGGGTCCGCAGCTCACATCCAGGTCGCCCTGCTGCAGCGGAGACCCCTCCGGGCAGACGGAGGCACGGCGCGGCACACAGATGGGCATCTTGGGGCAGGGACTGTCCACGCACTCGACGCTGATCAGCTGGCACTCCTCGTCGCTGGCGCAGCTCACCTCGTCGCAGAAGCTGCGGCACTGGCAGGTGGCACAGCCCTGGGCATCCACCTGGTAGCCGCTCTCGCAGGTGAGGCTGCACTTGGGACTCAGTGGGGCACAGGCGAAGCTGGAGTTCACCTGGCAGGCCGGTGTCGCCGGAGATTTCACTCTGGTGCCGGGCATAGCCCCTCCCTGTTCATCCACGCACCAGCAGTGGCCGTCGGGGGAGCACTGGACCTGCTCCCACTTGCCACTCTTCAGATCGCACTGTGCCACGGACATCTGGCGGGCGGGTATCCCTAGCTCTGAGCTCTGATGCAGCTGGATGCCCTGCAGGTGCTGGCAGGCGGTCTTAAGCTGCGGCTCCACGCACTGCGTGCCACAGCCGTTGGAGCAGCAGCGACGCGATCCCTCGCAGTGGGCATCGGTGCGGCATTCATAGGCACACGTATTGGCATCCAGATTATCGGGTCCCGGTGGCACCAGGTACGGGCACTGACCGGGTTTCCTGGGCAGACAGGCAGGCACCGGGGGACAGTACTCGCCCTCGCAGCTTACGTCCACGATGCGGCACTCCTTGCCCTGACCACAGCTGACGTTCTCGCAGGGATCGCGGCACTGGCAGGCCGGACAGCGGGTGTCCGGATCCAAAGCGAACCCGTACTCGCAGCCCATGCGGCAGGTGAGATCCAGGCAGTCCAGTTCCTCGCGCAGCTGCTGGCAGGTGTCGTCGCTGACATTGAATCCCCTCGAGCGGGGTATCTCCGTGCCAAAGCTGTCCACGCACCAGCACTGCTCCACCTCCATTTCGACGAGATCATCCTCGGACTCTAGCGGTCGCTTGGCGGCCGAGGCCACCTTCTTGAACTCCGTTTCGAACAGCTGTCCGAGTCCCTGCTGCCGGTCGGCCCCCACATCGATGACCTTGGCACTGCGGCCCATCACGGGAGCCGCCACCTGCACTTTGAGGGCACTATCATCCACGCGGTACAGCTTCAGTACAGCCTCTGCATCGCGACGGGTCCGCTTGGAGGCGGTGGCCAGGAGCATTCTCATGCGGCGGATGGTGTTCTCCTCGAGGATCTTGCGCTGCTCGGCTCTGGTCACACGGATCGTTCGCAGCTGGCACTGGCGTCCCCTATAGTCGCCATCGTCGTTGCAGCGCGGCGATGGAACAGCCAGCTGCATGCCCTCCTCGGTGCCCTCCATGCGCTCCGAGAAGTCCCGAAGATATTCGCACACTTCAAAGAAGGAAACCAATATGAGATTTATCTTCTTTAGAGGTTGGGGATATACTTACTGCTTTGCTGACGAGCTCCTGCTGCATCGTCTGGGGCTGTGGTCTGTTCCGGCAGCGGACAGCAGACGCTCTCCGTCTCTCGATGGAGCTTCGTGCACTTGTACTCCGCCGGACACATGATGCGGTTGCTCATCGCACGACCCTGCTTCGTCAGCGCCTCGGGCTCTGGCTCGAAGAAGGCCGTGGGCTGGAAGCTGCGTCCCTGACGCTGCTCCTCTTCGAAGCAGTACATCACCTCGCCCGTGGCCGTATCGGACAAGGGCGTGCCCACATCACAGGGATTGGAGTAGGCCAGATCGGGTTTGCACACAGGCCAGGAGGCGCACAGGGAGGACCCGGACTCGCAGAGCGGATCGGTGGCCACCTCGCAGTGGGAGCCCATGGAGCACTTGAAGCCCTCGCAGGGCTCTGAGCATTCGCACGTGGGACACCCGTTGTGATCGTTCTACGGGGGAGAGAAGAGGGAGAGTCGGTGTCAGGAATGGGTTTGGGGAAATGCATCCCTTGCTCACCTTGAAGCCGTATTCGCAGACTGCCGCACAGATGTTGGTGTCGCACTGCTCCATCTGGAAGCTCCTCGCGTAGGATCTACTGATCATATTCTCCCAACCATCGCAATTCACATTCATGGCCGCTCCCATGGTCTCCTTGATCTTGTGACCCGTGCGTGGATCCACGCACCAGCAGACAAGGCCGTTCCGCGAGCACTGTCTCGGGGAGAACTGTCCGCCGGGGCCATTACAATCGGGCACATAACCACGGCCCTCGCGCTCGTTGATCGAGAGGATGTCGGCAAGGGCCTTGGCCTGGTGGCAGCCTGTCACATTTCCGGGCTGCTGGCAATTGAATTGGCATCCCTTGGTGAAGCAGCACTTCTCCAGGTTGCGGCACTCCAGATCGTGGCTGCACGGCGATCCACACATGTAGCCTGTCCTTTCCGTGTACTTTGTTTGGTCCGGAGCCGGACAGAGGCCGGGTTTCTGGAAGGTCAAGGCACTCGGACAGCACACGCCGTAGTCGTTGCCCGACTCCACCATGCACTGGTAGAGCGGTGGACACTGGGGCTTGCCCGAATCCACTCCACAGAGGAAGGGCCTCACACTGTCATCGATGGAGAGGGGGAGTCCGGCGGGACAGTAGTTGGCCAAAGAGCGGGCCTTCTTGCACGTGGGAAGCGGCGGACACGGCTCGGATTTGCATTGCACTTCCTGCAGCTGACATGTTTGTCCGTTGGGGCACTCCAGGCCATCACACGGGTCCCGACAGCGGCACACGGAGCAGCCGGTCTCCAGATCCCTGGCGAATCCGGACGGACAGAACATGCGACACGCGGAGGCCGTGCAATTCTCCGGCTCGGCACAGCGGACACCCGATCGCGTCTCATTCCTACTGCCGGGCAACTCCACGCCGTACTCATCGATGCACCAGCAATCCTCTCCAGCCCGCTCATTGCTGCACTGAATCGTATCAAAGTCTCCGTTCTTCTGGCAGCGTGGTATCCGTACGGATGATGCCCCCACCGGCTGCAGGGCCTTGGCGCGGCGCGTCTCCGATCTCCTCAGATGCTGGCAGGCCGTAAGATTCGCTGTGAAAAACGAAGAAGAAAGGGAGAAGGGTTTTTTGACATACTTTCGTGTTATTCAACTGCCAAAACCCAAACCACGGAGTCACGACAATTTCACTTTTTATTTCTTTGCGTGACGCGTGCGCGAAACCACATGAAAAAAATATAAAAAAAAACAAAACCTCAAAGAAACCTCATAAAAAAACTGCAAAATTGAAATTAATTATACAAAATGAAATTGAACGACGGCGGCATTGCTCGAATTGTTGCTATTTTTGATACCCTTTCAGAGGGTATCTTCTGTTCGTAGAAGATGTTTGGAAAGCACAAACAAAACAATCCTTCTTTCCGAAAGATAATCGAATCTAAAGAAGAAGAAGAATCTAAGAATTTTAGATATCAGAATATCCATTATTATTCGACTGCCATGGGAATAATCGGTCGAAAAATGCGAGTTTATAAGCCATCCAAGATCTACAAATTGCTGTCTTATAATTATTTATGATACTTAGATTAATAATAACCGATTAGAACGCAATATCTAATTATGCATACATCTGCCGATCGGTAAAAAAAAAACGAAAGTCTATGAGGAAAACGTCTCCGATATTCCACACAGAATTCCATGTAGGCTCATAGCGGAGTCAACTGTTGATCAAACTCGTGTCAGATATCTCTAGGGTATTTGGGGTATCAAACGCTTCGCCATACGAAGTTTGCCTTCCCTTCTTGTTGCTGTTTTAATTGTTGCTTTTGTAGTTTCATTTTTGTGGCTCGTCTCAGGGCCAGAAGCGGCATAGCTTCGCGTTTAGTATGCGAGCAGCGAGGTGAAGAGAGCTACGAATAGAGAGGAGGAGGTCAGAGGAGAGCTCAGGTGAGCAGGGGGAGGGTGAAGCTCTGTTGAGGACAGGTTGATCGCCTGTGTCCACGAGGCGTATAAGCAATTCGCTTCAAATGGCATTCGGATTGGGTTGTTTGGATGCTACGAACATTCTGCACCATAAGAGGCAGGCAGCCTCAAGCCTCAAGCCCCATTGTCTCTCTGGTCTCTGCCCAGTGAGCGATTACGCAATTAAAGTGGGTATTATCCACCCCCATTACCCCCTCCCCCTCCATGCAACACTGCCTTTGGGGTTGCGACAGAGACAGACCCATTAATGTTGCGTCAATGGTGGCCTGGTCACTTCCTATGCACTTTCAATACGAAAATACATTTGAAGGCATCTTATGCAATTGTCGAATGCATTAAGCGGCATACTTCCTATATCTAAACCTGTAGCAATCTATAGCCATAGGTATCTAAGAGTGCATATGCCATAGGTCCTCTTAATCGCTCAACTTTGAGGAGATTTGTTTCCTCTTCCACGAATGTGTACAGAAATCATTTAAGAGGTATATCTCTGTGAGAAATTTGAGGGTATTACATATGTTTAAGTACAACCCAGACAGGGCTCTGCGGTAATTTCTGTTTAATCAGAGATTTCTTTTCATTTTCGAAGCGCACATCCGGCTTGCTTCGGATCTTCCATCTGCCGAAAGTCGCATCTTTTTTTGTGGGTTTTGTTGTCTTTCTTTTTTTTCTGGAAATTTCGCTAGAAATTGAATGAAAGTTTTATTTTTTTGGCAGCACCTCTCGTACCCATGTCCGGCCATCAATTTGGAGTCAAAAAAAAAAAAGTAAAATGAAAATGTTTTTCATGAATGAAAAGCAACAAAACAAAAGCCAAAGGCAATTAAAGCTGGCGTTCGGCATTCGGTCTATGATGAAAATAATCAAAGCGACAAAAACAACGGTCCCCAAGAGAGCTCTAGAGCAGATGGACAGACGGAGGGACGTACGTCTTTTATTCTCACCATTAAGCCAGAAATCAAGTTTGTCGCTTGAGTCTTTCGTTTGGGTTTCCGTTTGGCAGGAAAAAAAACAAGAATCAAGGCAGACAGAAGCGTAACGAAAACGAAATCAAAGACAAAAAAAACTGGCACTTATGTGGCAGTGCCCCCTGTACGTACTCGGAGCTCCACTTCATGCGGGTTGCGGTCTGGCGTCTGTGGTCTGTGTGCCCTAGCCTGACCGACTGACACACTGTTTTGCAGCAGCAGCTGCTGTAGGAGCCGCAGAACCCGAGTTTCTTTTCGCCTTTGTTTCCCTTTTGCTCTAGACCAGAGTCTTAACGGTTTTTGGCGTACCGAGTACGTGAGTGCTTTAGGCCTGGTCTCTAAGCACTTTTTAATGATGCCATGGCGTGCTATATTTAGCACCTACTTTAATGCCTGAGCTCTACACGAATTTCCCCCTCACTCCACCCGTGTGTGGGCTAATGATGCATCTGCAACATTCGCAAAAACCACACTGCAAAAAGAGTTCAATGACTGGAGACTGATGATTCTGGGCCGCCTCTCCTCCCGAAAAAGAACAAGTCGTTGACTCCACCAAAAATTCCCCCTGGAGAGGGAGAAAGAGAATACTCACCATTTGTCCGCTTGGCTGCTGCGGGTGTGACGGGCAGGAGGACCAAAAGCGTTGCAAGCAGCAGGCAGCAGGAGAAGAGTTTCAGCCAACGTTGATCATAGTGCGCCATATTCAGGCATCCACAAAAAAAAAAGTTGCCAAAAAAATACAAGAGATTTCCTGTTTTCGGTTGTGCGTGTGTGTGGCAGCTGCAGCATGAAAAGAGACAGAGATACAGAGAAAGAGTCAGAGAAAGAGTAAGAGAGAGAGTGCAATGCGTGAGTAATGTGGTGGCACGTCACGTTTGACGTCACACGATGCGAGGCCCCTGAGAAATCCACAAATTTCCATATACAATATACTCGTTTATCTGCTCGTTCCATAGACCATACAGCACTTTCACTATCAACCACTGGGCTGGGCTGGGCTGGGACTCGTGGTGTCTCGATTTTGTTTGTGGCGGCTTTCTGGCATACATTTGCATCTGCTTTTGGGGCGGGCGGGGCACAAAGAATTCAAAGCGTTTCCATTGCGTAACATTTTTGGGAAGAGTGGCGAGGCATTGACTGTGCGTTCGCTTCGGGTTCAGAGGGGGTCACGAACTTATGGAATCCGCTAACATATGGAGCGGTGGATCGGTGGAGGGGGGGAAGGAAAGCTCCCCTACTATATGCCGGGTGATTAATCTGCGCAGACTTCGACGCTGACGCTGACGCCACGCCGCTGCGCTTTCACTTTGGCAACAGAAACAACGGCAATCGGCAAAAGGCAGCCCGAAACATCGCCAACCAGTTAACATTTTTTCTGTTCACCATCATTTAGTTTTATTTATTTTGTTGTTTTCTTTTAAAATTCACTTTTTGCGCATGAGTGTATGAGTCTGGGTGTGTGTGTGTGTGTGTGCGGGTTTTCCGGTCCATTGAAAATGTCTCAGATTTGGGATCGTTATCTGGCATCCATCTCCACTCAACAGCCTCACCTTTTCCACCTTTAATGACAATGGAGGATAACTTTTCCCTCATTAGGCCTGCCACATTATATAATGCGTTGGTCAGCATTAAAAAAAAAGAGGCCGCAAATGAGCCTCCAAAAGTGAGGAGCAGAAAGAGTTTGCCGCTTAAGTCTTTCGTTAATTTGTTATAACTTTCAAGAGGGTCCTATGACTTTTATCAGAGATTTTTACATTAAAAATATGATGCATTTTCTTTCCTTAAATGAGATATATTTTCTTGATCAGCACCCAGAGTTTATAGCCAAAAAAGCTTTGTTTTTACCTCAAAATTAATCTTCAAACCATCATATTTTTGCCATCACAATTCCATTACTTTTATTGGATCTTTATATCATTCTTGTTTAGGATAAAAACTTGTAAATCTCTAAAGGTATTGCAATATTTTCAGTCAACTTAAAGGATTCATGCATAAGAGTATATTCAGCTTCAACTACGAAGAAAATCACTTTTCTCTTTCTTAGTTTTGGGTGAAAATTGTTGTCTGCTGTTCGTTCGATGAATCATGGGATAAATTACCATTGGCCGCCTTTTGCAATTTGGCCAAAAACATGAAAACTTGGCAAACACCTGGCCAATCCGCAATCCACAATCCACAATGAAATTTCAACACGGAACTGACGGGAAAAACCAAAAACTGGAGTTTATTTTTTCTATTTTTTTTTTTGGCTGGTTTGGCTGTTGAATGGGTTCGGTTCTCTGGCCAAACGAGGCCAGTGTTTGCCCGTGGAAACATACATATTTTCACTCTAGAGCCAACAGCAAAATGAAATGCAAAAGGAAAGCCCCGTTGCTGGCTTGAACTTGGGCCAAAACTTAGGCGCGCCTCGAACGCCAGTTAATTTCCAAAAGATTTCACCGCAAATGCAAAAACCTCTGGTTTAAGCCCCGCTTAAGCAGGTACTAACGCGCTTATTGTTTGTCATTGAGTCAAGTGTGGCTAATGGCTAATGGCGAATGGCTGGCGGCGGGGAGTTCGAAGGTGGGTCTGGGCCCTTGACGCGGAGTTGACCCTGCCTGACATGCTTGGCCAGGCCCACAGCAAGTAGAGTGTAAAGTTAAATGATTGGTGAAATAGGGTCAAATGTTAGCGAGAAGCAACGGATTGGGTGGCCACTCTGTGGCAATGAGAGCTTTAAGATTGGCTTATGGGTGCGGAGAGGAATGTTGTACGGGAGTTAAGCCAATAATCCGATCAATTTTTCATTTTTGTTGTGTACTTGAATCATTTTCCCTTTTGACTATGGAAACTGAGGGATTACAGACTGCATTTCGGGTGTCAAGCCTCCTATAATCCGATCAATCTTTCCCCCAAAAGAACCCTCTTTTGCTGCTCCACTTTGTAGTCGAGTACTCTTGTACTTTTGGCCATTTTCCCTTGGCAAAACTCTTTTCTTTTCTTCTTTATTTGTGGTTGGCTTTTCTGCTACAGTTATTTTCAGTTGCGAAATGTGTTTTTTTCGGTCTTACGGCTAGCGGTTTTTGGCCAGGTCTTGCGCAGTTAATGTCGTTACTTCTTTAAGAGCCCGTTTTAAACACCGAGAGCGTGTCGAACTCTTGAGTGTGGGCCTAAGGCGTACATTACTCAGAGTGTACTCGCAGTACATCGTCATACTCGTAGTACTGGGGCCTGACATAATTTCGTAATGCGCAAAAATTCGATACGTAAATATGTAAATATGTAGTCATGTATGTATATTTGTACAGCTTAACTCATTCATTCCAGTTTTCGAGTGTCAGCTTTGAGAATATGCGATCCGATGCGATGCGATCTCTGGCAAATGCCAAGAGTTCACCTTGAGTATGAAATTAGCGCCATGGGTGAGTGTAAAAGTAAGGTGCGTAACAAAAGTGTACGATACAAAGAAAATTGTACTTTCCGAAACATGTCAGCTTTGGATATTTGTTCATAATATGGCCGGTACTTCATCGGAAACATGATTGAAATTGAATTAAAGAGTTTTTGCAAGATTCAATTGTAGAATTGAGGTTGTTTTTAAACCAAAAACAATGAATTTTACTGTAATTTGCTATAAACTCTTTTTTCATCGCAAATATATCGAATATATCGATTAAAAGTTTATACAAACTACCATTTTTCGGATGCTCTTCTATTTGTTTGATTGAAAATAAGATATTAATGTAGTATTTCAAAATAGTTTGCTATAAATTTTCAAAGTACTTCATCGGATCTCAGAGTACAGCATGGTTTTTGATAAAATAACAGTTGAAACCGATTTACCGATTGAAATTTCGATGAAAAATTAAAAGGAGTCTTTCAATATCCATTATAAAGGAGATCAAGACAAAAATTTATGCAGGACTTTACATTCCTTGTCACTAAACCAAAATTGTCGGATTTTTCAAGAATGGAATTTACACGTTTTGGACATTCCTGAGACGTTCTGAGACGTACCTTCCGACTGAGACTCTCAGTATGTTATTTCATGTGTGTGGGGTAGGCCTAACTGAATGATTCAATTGTGGTCTGTGGCTAAACAAATATTTGACTGCACCTTTGACACGTTTACGAGACAGCCATAAAGCTACGATCTGAGTTTCGGTTTCTATTAGCCAATTAGCTCCTCCGCGACTCGACTGCGTCTCGACTGGGGCACAAACCTGTTTAATCTAAGCTAGAGATGAGATGAGAGGTCTTCTCGGCGGCGGTTAATCCAATAAAAAGTGAAATTATTTGATTGGTTTCAGTTTCGGTTTCAATTTCTGTTTGGGTGCTGGGGGGCGCTGCGGTGTGCTTTAATCCAGGTGCACAGATGGTTAGCGGGCGCTACGACTGCGATTCTGCAGATATTTTCACAATTTCACTCACACCAATACACTGGGATTTTGTTGAACAAACTTTGTGCCAAATTTGGTTTTCACTTTGAATTTCTACGGCCACGAGCAGCACTTTGAAAACTCTCTCGGGGCGGACACTTTTCTCTTCACTCTTCCACTCTACCACTCTACCACTCTACGACTCTTTCGTTTCGTTTGGTTTCTTTCACGGCAATTCAAATTCGCGTGCTACCTCGACGACAACCGTTAAGCATTTGAGCTTTTGCAAGACATCGCCGTGGCCTAGTAGCAAGCGGAGCAGCCAAAAGCGGAGCTCAGGTTGGATCCAACATGTTCGTTTGGGTTGCGATGGAGCAAAGCTTAGCTTTTGGGCCCCACTCGTTGCTTCGGATACTCTAACAAGGGCAGAAATATGATAAAGTTTTTCGATTTGGATAAAATTTGAATAAATATGAGAGGTAGGTAGATAAATAATGAAATTATACTGGTAAAAACGTTTCTCTGTAAGCATTTGATAGCCTTCCCATGACAATATTCCTATACTATCGGTACTTTCCTACAGTAGTTTACTCAAGTACGAGTATCCTAGTATTGGATCCCGACATCCTTGGCATATATCTTGAGTTTTACCAAAAAACTTCATTTCACTTCACTTAGTTCTTATATATACCCAGATGTTATATCTTATGCCCTAGAGTGTGGGAAATATTTCCTATACTGCATTACAAACTTCTAAAATAGATAACACTACTTGTTGTCAGGGTATTCCACTTCAAACTCTACCGAAAATTTGAAATATTTTTCTGACACATTAACATTACTCGTATCGTGCGTACCTTAACGTTGTTGTCGTTGCTTTTGGGTTGGACTTTTGGACAGTCGCTCAGTTGTTGGGGAGTTTCGAAATGCGATTATGCTGCGTAGATGGATGGGGCCTAAGTCTGTCCACTTATTCATGCTCCAATTCCAGTCCAGTGGCAACCCCAGTGGGGTTCTGGGACGACTTCGGGCATTCCACAGTTGATTCATAAAGTTCAGTTCGGTTCAGTTAATATGCTGATTGTCATTGTTATGGATCGTAATAGTTCACTTAACCTAGTGCGTGATAGCCTTCGTCTGCCAGAATAAGCTGAACATTGGGGTAAAACCATTTAAATTTACCCGCACCTGACGACGATCGCTGCTGACTCAACGATGGGTGCATATGCTCTCGCATATTCGATGTTTTTGTACGTCAATGGAGACCTATCAAGGGCGCATTATACGCTTGATGGATGTTTTGACAGAGATCGTCTCGAATACGTATGATCGTGTGGCTGCAGCCTCTACTTCCGCCTCGCAGGGGATTTCGCACGCTTTTGACGGGCGGCTTTCTTCTTTAATTTCATTAATAAAATCGTCATCATTAAATTAAGTGCGGTGGTGCCGCCTGGAAACGTCGTGACACAAAAGACACCCAAATTGCCAATGATGGTAGGGGCGTAGCAGGGGAATAAAGAAAGAAAGAAACGAACGAAAAATGAAAGAAAGCAGGGACTAGGAAGGGGCCACGGGCCACCCTAATCGCAGCATCCGCTTTCAAGCATGTATGATGGCTGTAAGATCTCAAAAAAGGGGCAAGGCATTAAAGCTCCTCCTCCCAAAGCCCCCCAATTACTGGCTTACTGCACTTCAACTGCAATCGAACCTCGACCTGATTCAACAACATATCGCATTTACATTGTTTATCAGGCCATACAGCCGCGCCTCCAACTCCCCAAGACAGCGGCTACCGAACGCTGTCTGGGGGCGGACGGCGAAAGTGAAAGTTCTGTGCATGTATGGGGGCTCGGGGCAGCCGTATTTCAATGTACGAGTACTGTAAAAAACACAGCAAGAATAGTGATAAGATAATAGTTAATCGCGTACCCTAGCAGTAGCAATATTTCGTTCGTCATATTTTGTGTAATTATTTTTTAATCATGATCATTTCTTGTGAAATTATAGATAATGATTTATTTTTTTATTGTGTTATATTTGAGTATATAAATCTTCGAAGATATGAATGGACTGGAAAGGAAAATATGTTTGGAATAAAAGACATAGTAATTGCACCTCGACTACCTTAGTAGAAGAAATATTATAAAAATATCATTAGATCATGAAAGTTTTTGGTTGTAGTATTTCTTATGTATCTTCGTGTTGAATACTAAATCTTTAAAACTGCGGATAACTCAGCCTTCGGAAGAACTAAGAAGAAATTCCAAATCAACATAATCTGCAGATGAATTTCCAGCCTCTTTTAATAGGCTGTAATGCTGATCTAGAATAAGTATATCTAATTATCCAATATTATGAGCTTTAAAGGAAATTCTATTTCCTCTTAAATACATACCTTTGTAACCCAGAAATATTTGCCTGCTATCATAATAATAAATTTAATAAAATATAATTTAAACGAGGGGGAACGCTGCTAGTCGCTTCTACGGCCGCTGCTCTACATTTTTACCCGATTCTCAGTCAGTATGGTTCCCCTCCGCTAGAGGGCACACATTGAATGAGGAAGAGAGAGAATGAGTTAGACGTTCCTTCGTTCCTTCTGGCTATAATAATGATCCGATCTGACCCAGATTCAGCAATCTGCTAGATGCGGTCATTCTCAGACAGATATGGCTATATCGACTCGGCTATTGATACTGATCAAGAATATATATATTCTTTATGGGGTAGGAAACGCACATCAATGTCACCACAAACCTAATGTACCCCTGTACTCTTTTTCAACTTAATAGCTGCACACATTTGAAATGCCTCTTCTTTGCTGGTACATATGATTCTTCATCTATATATATTGTTTGCTGCTGCCCCAAAAAACAATACTTGATCTGGGATTGGATTTTCCTTGTGTTTATTTCATCTTGGGATTGGATTTCCGTTTGTGGCAAGTGTTTATATATTTATATATAGTATTATAAGTGTCTAAACGCATTTTACAATTGAAATTAAATTTCGTAAGTGGACATTTGATAATAATAATACGAAAAAAAGATTAATCGATTTACAAATATATCTTTTCTTGTTGTTGTTTTTGTTGTTTTGGCCTAACCCGAAGCGATCTCAGTGGGAGATTGAGTTCAAAGTTTGTGTTGTTCCTGCTCTAAGTGATAGTTAAAGATCTGTTTGTTTGATTCTAACGATTGCGGCGGCTCCTCATTCTGGCTGTTGATGCAGCAGAGCGTGCGTCTAGTAAATTGGTGTTTTGTATCTGAACTATCAAGTTAATAAAACTCTCTGAGTGAGTGAGTGTGTGTGTGTGTGTTTGGTTACTTTTAGTGGAAACCTTACGATTAGTTTGTGATTTCAATTGTTTGTTGGTTTTTTATCTAGATTGCGTGTAAAATATATAATCGTTTGATTTGTTTTGTTTGTTTGTCTTTAGGGGTCGCGTTCTCATTCCTACCAAGAGTTATATGTATATGTATAACTACTATCTATTTAGCGGGTATTAATTTACGTATGTTTTCTTTTTTGTATTTACAAACTACATTTTGCATTGTTCTTTCTGTTCTCCTCTTTCTCGCTCTCTGGCGTTTCTTGTTCCACTCATGTCTTGCGCTGTAAATATTTGCACGGATTTGAAAAACTAAAAACAAAACAAAACAATTAAAAAATACAATATTCCTATATATTGAACACAGTATTGCATATATATATATATATATCGGTTAACTTCTTAACTCCTTGTATAATCGGATCTGTCTCTTTTATGTGGATTTTGTTCATCACTTTTTGTTGTTTTTGTGTTTTGCAGAAATCAAATAAATGTCTTTTGTTTTTGTTTTATCTTCGCTTTGCTTTTGCTTTGCTTCCGGTGCTGTGGCGCACATAAATTTGCATAAATAAATTCTAACAACACGCTTAAGCTATTGTGATTAGGGTAAAAAAAAATACATACAATAATGTTAATCTTGCAGCTGCGGCTGCTGCTGCTGCTGCTGATCTCTCACATATGCGGTATAAATAATAAATTAAACATTTATAACTATTGCAACGCTACTCGACCTATCAACTATATCATTAAATTGTATATATATATAACCGTGTATAAATATGTCCTTTCTGCTAAAAAAATTACTATTATTTCTGTTTTGTTGTTTCTCGCGTTTCTTGTTTTGCTTTTGTTGTTATTCGTCTAATCGTTTATAAAGTAATAATAACTGCAGGATTATCAACTTGCTCTAGCATGCATACCATGCCCTTCGCGTGTTTAGTACTCGTAGAAGAAGGTCAAATATGCGCTATATACCTATTATCGCTAGTTTTACATATTATCAAAATTATTATCTGTATCATTATTATTATATTATAGAATTAATTAGAATTATATAGGTATGCATTAGCGTTATTGTTACATTATGTACAACTCTCCGGGTGCTGGCTCTGCTTGCGTTTCGATTTTGGCTCCTTGGGATGCTGCTCCATCGACGGACGACGCGGCCCGAGCGTGACTAAGGCGCTGGCCACGGCCAGGCCGTTCGATTGACCCGTCGGCGCTTGGGATTGGCCACCTATTAAATACGAAATGGATTAGCAATTGATTCGGGTCTAAAGCATTCAAATTAATTCAAACCCGTGGGCAGCCGGACTAGAAGCGAGAGCACAGCCGCTCGATTGCCACAGCAAGGCTCCAAAGCAATGGGACTGGGACATTCCTGAGAACATGAACGAAATATGGTTAAGAAAATAAAGCCATTTGAGGCAGTCTCGTTTCGCCCACCTTTTTGCGTTTCTTGGACATATGGCCAATGCCCTCCAGCGTTAGACTCAGATCAATACTTTCGCGGTTTTCAATGTCGACGAGCACCTATAACGAGATCGAAGAATGTGTCAAGAGTGTGCGTCCATTGGGGCCGTCAAAAGTTGAGTGACTTACCTGTGAAAACGGTCGACTGGCCATCTGTTCCATTTCGACAAACAAACGCTGCCGTCGCCGGAACATGTCATACTTTTGCTTAATCTTCCACAGCACAGCGGCCATGAGGAGCAGCAGCAGGAAGCAGGAGGAGAACGTAATGAAGAACTGCTGCAGATTGAGCTTGGGATACTGGGAGAATGCAATCTGAATCCAGATGGGGGGCTGGAAGTCATGCACAAACACATAGAATGTCGTCAGCGAGCTATTGTCATCCGGCGAGTGACCGAACTGATATTCGGTTTTGGGGAACCGATGGCGGAACGTCGAGCAGTTGACGCCCACCAAAATGAGCATGTCTGGCGAACCGGCTCGCTTCACCGAAATGTCCATTTTGGCCGGCACACTGCAGGTAATCGTAAAGTCCGCGTCGATCTCCGGCTTGCCGGGCGAATTGCGAAAGTTGATTTGGGTGAAGTGGCGGTCCTCCTTCTTCGACAGATTGAAAGTGAACTGGTAGTCGATGGTGAGCTCGTAGTAGCACGAGCCCTTGAGCGGATCGCCATGGTAATGGTTCTGGGAGTCACACTTCTCGCAATGATCGCCGACAATGCCCTTGGTGGTGCAGTAGCACTTGCCAGTATCCGGATGACAATAGACGCCCTGATCGTTGCACTCGCAGCGCTGGCACTTCCCCCCGTTGATGGGACTGCCCCAGTATCCCGTCCGGCACTTCTCGCAATGCACGCCCGTCGTCAGATTGTTGCACGGCTGTTCGCAGTGCTGCTGATCGTTGCACACCGAATGACCGTTGCAATTGCAGCGCGGACACGACGTGAAGAACCAGTGCTTCAGGGCGCACTCTGTCTCGTCGTAGGGTGCCAGGGCCCCACCCACCACACATCGGCCGAGCCCCGTGTTGGAGCCGTTGTCGCACCAGCCGCAGGCGGGATCGTCGAGACACTGCTGGCAGCTGTTGTAGTAGCCGCACTGGGCACTCGACAGGGCCGTGGTGGTGCCGATGCTCAGTGCCGTCACCGGGGAGGAGCGGCACTTGGCAGTGAAGGTGGTCCACTCCCGACACTGGCCGTAGGGGAAGCTGGCCGTGTAGGCATTGCGATCCACGCACCGCTGCTCGTTCTGGCACCAAATGCACTCATCCTCCGTGCAGTTCTGGCAGTTGGTCAGCGTCGCACACGCCGGCGGACAGACGACATCGTCCTGCGTGCGATTGGACACCGGCCCACCGGCTGTGGAGGACGATCCATGGCTGCGACAGCGATTCTGCTCTGTGTCCCACTTGCAGGCCGCGTTCGAGGAGCAGGCACGACAGTTGTGCAGCTGCTCGCAAACGGACTGCATGAGGAAATCCTCCGACACGGGACAGGCTACCAACTGCTTGGCATTCAGCGGGGGCCCCACTGTCGATGCCGGCACCTGCGGCACGGACTGGTGCGTCGTCGACAGCTCGAGGAAGACGGACGCCACGGATGTGGTCTCCCGACAGCGCTCCTTGCTGCACACCCCATTGCCGCAGTATGTGCAATCGAAGGCGGTCGAGACGCACGACTGACAGTTGCCCAGCTCCTGGCAGCGCAGGACGTCGTGCAGCAGCTCCGAGGTCATGGTGAGACGACTCTTCGAGGGGCACGCCACATAGTCGTACTGCTCGCGGCCATAAATGGCCGATCGCTGCACCTGGGTGATCGAAATGCAGCGCATCTTCTGCACATCCCAGATGCACTTGATGCCGGGCCGGGCGCTGGTGCATTTCTCCTGCTTGGTGTAGTAGCTGCAGTATCCCGGCTGGTAGCGCAATATGTCGTTGAGCAGCTGTCCATTGAATCCTCCGTAGATGTAGAGAGCGTCCTCAAACACCACCGAACTGTGGCCAAAGCGAGCCAGATCTGCCTGCAGGTAGCTGGGCATCTGATGGAAGTGCCACGAATCACAGTAGACGTCATAGACGAGCAGGTCCTTGCTATAGCACTTGGCGCCGTAGCTCGTGGAGGTGTCGTTGTGCGTGTTTCCCCCAAACACCATCATCAGGCCCTGGTTCACAAAGTTCGCGGTGTGCAGCAGCCGGGCACTGGGCGCCGACGAGAGCAGGCTCCAGATGCGTGTCGAGGGCTCGTACGCGTACAGCCGCGAGCTCAGCACCTGGCTGGACTCGCTCTCCGACACAATGCCGCCGTACACGTAGACCTTCTCTGTGAGAAAGTCGTAGGCGGCACTGTGTCCGTAGCCTCCCTTTACGACGAAGCCAGAGGTCTGGACGATGCGCCACTCACGTGATCCGAAGTTAAACTCCTGCACCGTGTTGAGGTAGCCATAGTGGGGCGAATGCCCGAATATGACCACCATATACTGATAGTTGTTCTTGTCCCCGAAGCCAGGGACCAGCGTGGCCGTGTGCCCCACCACGTGGAGGGGCCCGCACATGCCACTTGGCCCGGTGGTCACGTTGCACGCGTCCGTCCGCACGGTGATGTTCTCCCACGTCTTGGCCGACACATCGAAGGCCCACAGCTCATTGGAGATGCCCTGGCCCTTGATGACGCCGCCGTACATGAAGATCTTGTCGCCGTACATGACGGTGGAACTGCCATAGCGCTTGTCGGGCACCTCGCCGCCATCCTCCGGATGTACAGTCTCCCACACATTGCCGTTAAAGTCATAGGTACTCATTAGCTCGCCGCGTCCATACGATTCCCCGCCCACAATGTGCAGAGTGTCGCGCCAGACGGTGGCGCCATGGGAGGCGCTGCCCGCCGGCGCCGGTGAATGCTTGGGATGTACAGTGGTCCAGGCGCCATGGGCGCTGACCTGACTACAATCATCGCCAGCAAAGCCATCGTAGCAGATGCAGCTAAGGACAGAGCAACGGATCGGATAAGTATTTGGATGAGCATTGGATTGGGACTACGCTGAGGACTTACCGCTCCTGATCCAGTCTGCAGTGGCCTTGGTTTTTCTCTTCCATGCAATTGCCCGGACAGGCAGCCATATTGCAGGCCTCGCCCCTGTACATGGGATCACAGATGCAGTCGCCATCCCGGCACTTGCCATGCCCTGAGCATTCCACCTCTGCAAAAGGGATGAGAGAATCAATCGGAGTACATGGAAGGCAAGGAAGCTATAGCTACCATCGCTATCCGTTGGACAGCCATTCATTTTGTAGGTTAGATTAAAGCCAGACATGTTGTAGGCATCGTCACTGAAGAAGTGCACCAGGGCAGTGCCCGATCTGGCTATCACCTGCGGCACGTGTCGTATGGAGAAGTTCCCCCTGTACATGAGGCCGCTGCAAGCAGAAAGAGTGACGGATAAAGGTCAGACATTGACACAGGAGGTCACGGCTAGTCTATCACTCACCTGAAGACCGCCAGCAGGGGCGAGTCCACGCTGTCGCCGTCGTATATGTAGAGGTGATCCCAGCCGCATTCCGTCGCAAATTCCCGCAGGTGAATCCGTATATTGGATGTTCTTGGCGAATTGGCATTATGTCGCCGTCCCCAGTGCGGGTGGCGGGCATCGATAAGCCAACTGCACTTGACACTCACCGAATAGTTGCCCCAACCATCGTGTATGGTCCCCATGGGATGGTACATGCTGCAACACAGAGGCACAGAAAGAGAGAGAGACAGATGTAGGGGGGGTGGTGGGGGGTAATGTGAAATGAATCCGTATAAAGCGTAATCGATGTGGCAAAAGATAAATCAATTCCGCAATCGATTCAATGGGAGGCGACTACATGCGCAATGCCTTCTTCAATGGATGCTGCCTCTGCCTCTGCCGCTGCCGCAGCCGCTGTCTCTGTTCAAAGATAATTGAATTTGCCGGCCAGTGCAAATGCAATCTCCCCCCATTGATTGATAGAAAAAAGCGGCAGAGTGAGGGAGACCGACCGCAGCTGAAGCCTCTCAACTGTTGAGTGTGTGCCTCGCTTCTCTCTCTCATTCACAAAAGGTGACCGTTCATTCTTTACTCTTTTCCCAACCCTAGCACTAGCCCTAGCCTTACGCTGCAGCTCACACACACACACACACACACACGAATGGAGATTATAAATAGAAATATCTGCTGAGTAGAGGGCATGTGCGACAGGTGACCATTCCAGTGACAGTCGCTGCATGTAACCCAGTGAGAGCATTCAATAGTCGACTCTCATCTACGACTCACATCCGCTTAAAAATAACTGCTTTCTTTTTGCTCGTCTCTCATTCCACGCGAAATGTAACTCAAGGAATGGTTTACCCTACACTCGGGTGAACGTGTCCTACAGACTCTCTCAAGATGTTTAAACAATCAAGTGGGGGAAAGTGGTTTCGGGTGTCCCAAACTCGAATGCTGCTGCTCACGTTACATCGGGCACGCAGACGATTCTAGGCATTGAATAACAAGAATCAATGTCAGTAGGGTATGCATATGTATATTTATACCCTCATTGGTAAATCCAATGAATCATTTTGGGCACTGAAGCGCCTAGAATGGCCCAGCCATACGCACAAAGAGAGTAATAGAGAGAGAGAGAGAGAGAGAGTAACGCAGGGAGAGCGTTTGTAGGTGACCAGCAGGAGACTTTGTCATGTGTGCAATGGCTTGGAATGCATTAGTGTAGGAGGAGGGGGAGGGGCAACCCAGCAGAGTTTTTGTTGTTGCTGCCCAAAGCCCATTCAAATGCGAATCGTGTGCAAACACAGACGACAGGTGGGCGGTGGGAGAGTCCAACTAAATACTCTCTCCCCCAGCGATAAGCGCGGCTGATAAACGATAAGCGAGTGAGGAAGATATTGCTTATCGGCTGAGTAAATCGCAATGCACGGAGTTGTTGGAGGGAGCGGCCCATAAAGCAGGTCTGGGAGATCAGAAATGCATAGTTCTGCGGCAGGTGAAACGACCTTAATGGTTGGGTGCGCATTTTTTTCGGATCCATCATTCGGGCAACGACGCAGGGCAGGTGTTTTAAAGCGCTGACAGCGCCCAGAGCTTAGTTAATGTCAAGATAGTAGCAGCAGAGGGGAAGCTCTCTCTCTCTCTCTCTTATCGAGTTTGCTGAACAAACAGCTTTGGAAACATAAACAAAGCATTTCATAAGCTTTATGACGATTTATAATATATGTACATCATCATATCATATTAGCCTGGCCAAGAGAACGAACTCCATGTGGCAGAGAAACAGAAAACCTGTCTATCTCCCCGGACAAGTTCAAAGTCAAAAGCGGGTTAATTAAATAATCCGTATTGGCAGTGACAGGAGGAGGCGACGCGACTGTTCTGCTGGTGGTCGTAGAAAGCAGGTGAAAGAACGCTCGGAGCGGGTCCACAAAGAGAGAGGGAGAGAGATTGCGAGAGAGAGGTAAGAACCCGTTCAACGAGAAAAACCAAACCGTTGCTTGACACAAATAGGCCACAAAAACAACAACAACTAAAAAAAAAGAAAGAGTGTGGAGCTTTGATTGGATAACGTTGACGCAGATTTGTGTGTTTTTTATTTTGTATGAATCATTGAGCAGCACCCCAGGCTCATCTCTTCCTTCCCTTTCATTTTGAGTAGAACTTACCGCACTTTTCCTCCGCAGAACTGGCACTCGGGCCCCTGCCACCCGTCAGCGCACAGGCACTGGCCATCCTCCTGGCACTGGCCGTCGTTCTGGCAGCGACTCCCGTGCGCCGTGCAATTGTACGCGCTGGCCCGATGCAGGCCGCTGAAGCAGCCGTGGAAGAGGAGCAGCGTCAGCAGGAGCAAACATTTTCGCCTGTATTTCGCATTGAAGGTCGGCGATGTGGTGGTGGTAGTAGGAGTGGAGGTGCTGGCGCCACTACGCAGGCTCTGATGATGGTGGTGCTGCTGCTGCTGCTGGCTGTTTACTATGGTAATGGAGGGGGAGGGATTGTTGTTGCGATTGCGATTTGAGCAGAATGATGTTGTGGAAGACGTCACTGGCGATGAAGGCTGCTTCTGCTGGTCCCCCGCATGCTCCACCAAGCACATGTTTGATAGACTTTCGTCGACTGCCGCTGTTTGGGGTATTGGCTGCAGTTTCACGTTTCACATTTTCTCGCGACGACAAAATCCTTCGATTTTTGTGGAGGGGAATGCCTATTGCACAATTCTTTTGCTCTCCCCGCACGGACAAGCAGACGGCCAGGAGTACGCTGGACACTAGACGAACACAGAAACACACTCACGAACACACACGAATTGCACAACCTGGTCGCGCTCTTAAGAATTAGTTGCAGCGCCTTAGCCAATTTCTGAGCAAAGATATTGACAATTTTTATTATGAACAGAGAGACGAGAAATCAGCGCGAGTGTTGGATAGCAGTGCACTTACGCTTGCAGCGTTGCCAGAAAGCAGACCGTGACTCGCAGTCGATGTATCGATAAGGAACGGGACTCATTGTTGTTAACCGGGCCATAACCGATTGAAAAAAACGACCAATTCCTCAATTTCGATCTTCCGTCGAATATTCCCAGCTATATAGAACATTTGGCAATGCTCAGATAGTTTTCTCCGAATTCTCAATAAATTCTCTACCCGACCGGCCTGTTCCAAGCAATTGCATTTCTATAGATTTCTATGAAATTTTGAATTTATTTTTGCAAAGACAAATCAGCGTAAGTGTTGGATAGCACTGCACTTAAGGTTGCAGCGCTGCCAGAAAGCAGACCGTGACCCGCAATCGATGTATCGATATACATCGCAACAATCGCGGTTCGTTAGAGCGGAAGTCGCAGGCAGCTGAAATTATTTGGATTTATTAGAATTTCTGAAAGAAATCGTCCTTCTTGGTAGTGCCACAAGTTGCGGCTGTTGTTGGTGCTTCACTAGATGTTTTCCCAAAGTTGCACACGCATTAAATGTTGCTGGCACAAGCGTTAAAGTACATAAAATCAATACCCCCGAAATAACAACAACCAGGCGTCCGGTGAGAAGCGCGTAAATTCCGTCAGTTTTTCGAGAGCTTCAGTGATAAGAAAATGTGCGAATCGGCAGGCGCAGGCGCGCTCTTCCCCGACAAATTTTCCGACTTTTCCTGCGATGCGAGAGAGGCGACAATCCAATGGCCACAGTTTACGTTCGGAAGTCGATGAAAGCTGTGTGCTGGCCGTGGCCAACGGAATTTTAACCGTTGAATGTGCGTTACGCGAGTGTGTGTGAGTGTGTGCCATGCACGCGTCTGTGTGCCATCCGTGTAGTAGTAGAGGAGCAGCGAACGAAAAAACGGAACGTCTGCTTTAACAATTGCAAAAAGAAAACCACACACACACACACGTCACGTCACAGAGCGTCTAAAGAGCGGAGCTTAGGCTGCATCCGGGATTCGGTTGGAAAAAAACTATAATTATATTGGCGTCCAGCATTGCAGTGGATACCTGGAAGCACAGGGACACCACCCGCAGCAGCAGCGGCAGCACAGGTGAGTGGCGGAATTTCGTTGTCTCCATGGAGTGGCAATCATTCGTTACAGCAGGGATGGGATGGATTCCGGGGGTGGATTCCGGGCCCGGGCTCTGGCTCTGGCTATGGCTATGGCTCCCGGTGCCTGCCTACAACAGACACGTCTCTCTGGAGGTGTGGGAGTGTTGTTGTGGCGACACAATGCTGCCGACCACAACAACACATTCCCCTCCCCCCCAGCGAAGTTCCCTTTAGTTTTAGCCTCTAATTAAAGTCTGTCCATTATCAGCACTTTGGCTATATTTGCTTAGCGCTTCGCTGCTTTTGTGGCACATTTTTTTGTGTTTTTTTTCGGCTAAAAATGCCTGGAATTTAGCAGTTACAGAGGGAGCTCTGCCCACGCACGTTTTCGATTAATCCCCGCATCAAATGAAGCGAAGCAATGACAGTGAAAATCGATTGGCATTGGCACGCTTCCCTGTATGCCAGTGGCTGTGTGTGTGTGTGACTGAAACGAGTCCGCGGGGACTAGTAGGGCACATTTCTGGCAGAGGCAATCATAAGCGTCCATAAAACCAGCGAGCGGCTCATCCAACGGCTGTGGAGAGGGGCGCCCTGTAATACGAATGCGTGCTGAAATTGAAATTCCGTTAGTTGGAGCGATAACCGTTATTCATATATTTGCATGTTCATATGTGTGTGTGTGTGTGCTACTCAGTTTTTGCATAATTTAGATGACCGCGCTGCTGGCGTCAACCGCGACCGCGGCGCCTACGCCAACGCCAACGCCAACGCATGACCGCCAATGTCTTGCTGTTGTTCTTGGCTGCTCTTCCTTATGCTCCTCCTCTGCTTGTTCTTGGCTGCTGCTCTGCTTCCTCCTTCCCCTCGGCGGCGACTGCTCTTTGAGAAATTATTTTTAAGTTTGTGGGCGTCCGGGGCCGTGAAGGGGAGGGGTCAGATGTGTGTGTGCGGGAATGTGTGCCACCGCCGCCGCCGCCCCAGCCCTCAAGGTCATTTACATTCTGTTTTATTTCTTTTCAATGAGCGTTGCGTTGCGTTTTCTCTGTTTTTGTACCCCGCACTCGAAGATTTTAGGGGTATATACGCTTTGTGGTAAAAGTGGTGGAAAGCGTTTTCGACCCGGCTCAAACGACGTACAAAATATATTGTATAAATTACATAAATAAATTCACTGAGTAACGGTTATAGAAGTAGAGCCGCGGCCTTTGCCGCTCCCTCTCGTTTTTTTTGTTTATCTTCAATTTGCATTTTTTCTTCTCTTTTTTTCATTATATAATTTGTAACGTTTGTGGAGAGGGGTGTGGCAGTGGGTGGGCGTTGTTTTGTGGCAAGTTCAAGTGCAGCAGTGCCGAGACGACGGCGGTGGCGGCTTGTGGTTGTTTTTTTGTTGAATGTTTTGCCAATATTTTCGCCATTGACAACACACACATATACAGTAGGGGCGGCAATGGTGTGTGGGCGGGGCTGTTGTTTACCTTGCCAATACCTGAATTGGCGGGCAGTTTTATTATTTTGCATAACTAAAGAAGGAACAACAGAAAGAAGGAACAACAGCCAGACGAAACAAGAGAATAAAGAAACAAAAAAATAAAAAAAAACAAATAATGCAAAAAATTGTTTGTATTACAAGGGAGGAGGCGGAAGGTGGGGCAATCGAAATATTTAATACCCTACAAGATTTATTGTTTTCCAGAGAATATATAGAAATATGTGCGATATTATATAGTCATCCCATTTTTTGTAGACTTCGTTTTACAATATAATAAACTCAATAAATTGTCATTGAACTTAACTTTCTGTAAGTTGTGTTGGAATATCCTCGGAAACCACAAGGAAAGGGGTTTTCAAGCGATTGTTTCTATATCAGCCACAAAATACAGTGATATATGATTATATATTTATTTGGCAGGGTAAACAGAAATTGGCAAGAATTCCTTGGATTATCTGAGGGACTGAGACTTACGGAGGGAATTCTGATGAAAATTTCTTCAACTTAAGGACTTTTTGAACATATGTAAATATACGGAAGTATCTTGGGAAAGTATCTATCTGCTGTGGAATATGAAGATGGGTCCTTTCCAATGGGTTTTTTGGGCATATATTTGAGGTGTCTTATGTTCCACCGTTCTCCGTGGCAAGCTCCAGTTTCAAGTCAAAATACCCTTCCTTCTGCCAGAGAACTATTAACATGGAAAAAAGAAAACGCACCCGGCAACAAAACAAGCAACAAGAACAGAAACAACAACGCAACGGAGAGAAGTAGCGCCAGTGAGGCGCACAATTTTCCCAGTCAATGGGTGGGGCAGGGAGAGAGGAGGATAGCAGGGACGGGGCTAAAGAGCGAGAAGGGGGGGTTGGGGCCCAGGGAGGGTTAGGTTAAAGTAGAAACAAATTATACGACACACCCCCCTCTCAGCGTACAACGGATTGGGTTGGGTGGGTGGAGGGGGGAGGGGTTTGGTTTCGGTAGCGCCCCGTCCGCATCAAGTCAATAAACAAGCAGCAGTTACAACAACAACAGCAAACACAAAAACAATGGGGAAAAATTGAAGGATAAAATGGAAGGAGGCGCTCTCCCCGCCCGTCAGCTTTTATACGGCATTTCCCCAGTGCCATCGTTCCATTGCTCCATTAAAGCTCAGTGCACACACACACACACACAAACAACATGCTCGTACATTTAACGGTTCCCAGCACCCCAAAGAGCTGTTTGTCTCTCTCACACCACCACAGCCACAGCCGCAGACACACACACTCTCAGTCGGTGCCTGACGTTCTACCTCTCTGCGGATACCCTCTCTCTCTCTCTCTCTCTCTCACGCTCCTCCGATGCCCGAGCATTTGTCAATGTTGCTTTTCTTGGCTTCTCATTTATTTCATCATTTATGCAAAATTTTATTGCTTTTTCTTGTCTTTTGGTTTTCATTGATTGAGGGGGACTCGCTTGGGTAAGGGGTTAAACAACGGGGAGTCCCCACAGGAAGCCACAGCAAAATCTTGCCAATTAAATGCATGCAAGTGCATGTCCTACAATAGTTGTTGCTTCTCTGGAATCGATGTGTTCTTGAGAGGAATATATGACACGTCTTTCTTTGTGTTCTAGAGGGCATGCTGTAAGCTAAGGTTAAACCCTCCCAGGATTTTTCCAGTCTGTAACAAATCAAGCAGGACGTCATGCCGTAACCCCTGGGAATAGTCCGCCTTCGCTCAAAGTTGTTTCGGAAAACACTTAAAGTCTTTGCTTAATAAACTATCCAGAAATTATAAGCTACGACAGGCTAACAGCTACATATTTAACTCCCAATCAAAAGCTGGTCTTTGTTCTAGTCTAGCTCTGACTTTGTTGATTCTAGGAACTAATTACAGAACACAAATAAGCCATATGGACTCCTGCGATGATAGACTTTGGTAAACCCCTCGTCTAGAACCTAGAATGAAGGTAGCAGAACCAGTCGAAAGGCTTATCGGGGCTTACGAGCCTGTTACCTTTTCTGTTGCATAGATTTACACTTTTTGTAGGTAATTATGTGCTCTTACACTCTTATAAGGCAGAAGACCCTTAACAAAAATCCCTCTCATGGGGTATGCCTGGAGAGTGCTAAGTATTACACCCATTGATACACCCTTTTGGGCCCTCTTAAGTCGAGGAAAATGCCACATTTGAACACATTTTAAAGACTTGTAGATCTAGCAATTGTCCCGACTATTATTTCAGGAATATTTGATGTATTCCCCACTCTGTTTGCTCTAATTTTTGTAGCAATTGTTTGGGAATTAAATCTGAGTATCGGGTATCTACATACGTGTGGCACATATAATATTGTTTCATGTTTTGCCCCCCGATTTGTTGTCCCCCGTTTCGGGGGCATTTCTTGTGCTCGC